TCTCCCAGGTAACTAGCGATAGGACAAGAAGCAATGGCCTCAAGTTGCATCAGGGGAGGTTTAGATTGGATATGAGGAAAAATTTCTTGACTGCAAGAGTGGTCAGGCATTGGACCAGGCTGCTCAGGGAAGTGGTGGAGTCACCATCCCTGGAGGTGTTCAAAAAACGCATAAAGCTGGCACTTGGAGACATGGTTTATCAGGCATGGTGGCATTGGGTTGAATGGTTGGACTTGATGATCTTAGAGGTCTTTTTCAACCTTAATGATTCAGTGATCCTGTGGTTCATTCTCCAGTGGTGGTTCCTCAGCCAGGCGGGGATGGAACTTTCTCCTGCCCTTGGTGGGTCTCTGCCCTGGCTGGCTCCCGGGGCAGTTTTCTTCCTGGCTTTGTGGAGTCAGAGGAGATGTGTGGCTGGGGGAGGGATGTGGAGGTCAGCGCTGTGCTCTCGAGCTGCTGACTCTCCTCCACGCAACATTAGCCCTGGCTTCTTCGTGTGCCCATTAACACCAAATCAGGAAGCTTCCTCCAGAGTGTTCTTATTTAACTTTTCAATTATTTTATAACTTGAGGAGCATTAGCTGCTGCTGAGGGTCTGCCCATCTTCCACACTCCTCTTTGCGTGCTGCTTAAGCAAAAAAGTTATAATGTCTCCTAAAAAGGTAAGTTAAGGGTTTTATTAGAGTGGAGCGTCTCTGGTGGCCTGGACCTTCTCAGTGCTCGGGCAGATGGGGCAGCATCCCATGGCCAAAGGCTTTTCCTAGCAGAAGGAGAAATGGAGTAAAGAGATAAATGCCCAGTATAGATCAGGGGAGGGATGTGCCAAAAATGTCTTCACCCCATGGACGAGCTGGGAGTTTCCTAGTCAGAAACAGCTCCTGAGAAGGTCAAACCCAGCTGGTGGCAGCCCAAGGAGTGCAGAGACCCGTCTGCTTTTGAAAGATGCTCGCGCTGCAAAGGTGCGAGGCAGAGGCAGGGACCATTGGACCACGGCTCTTAAGCATTTGATCTTTCCCGATGTGTTTGTAATTATGTTGCATTATCTTAATTACCAACATGGGAAGTCAGGAGCATGGCGGGGGAAGGGAAAGGAGGAAGGTAGAAAGGCAGGAAAAGTGTGGGGTGACGAGTAATTTACAGCCTCCGTCGACGGGGCTGCGATTGTGGTTGGAGTTGGAAACAATGCTATTAATACAATGCTTATTCACTTCCTATAATAAAAAAATAGAAGTGCTTTGCAATTACCCAATTCCGAATGAAATTAACATTCCGTGGCATTTTCCAGTAAACGGTGAGTTTGCACACATGAGTGGAGGCAATTAGCTGGGAAGCGACTGAGCGCCGTGACTGGAGAGAGGATG